CTTGTAGAATACTCCAGGGTTCGAATCCCAGCACCCACATGGCAACTAACAACTGTCTGTAACTCCAGTCCCAGGGGATCTGGCAGCCTCTTCTGTCCTCTGCAGGCATTGCATGACACGGGTGCACTTACCTATATACAAGCAATGCACACGTACATATATATTTTTAAATATTTTATTTATTATTTTTATTTTATGTGTTGTGTGTATTGCCTGCACGTAGGTAAGTGCACCCGTGTCGTGCAATGCCCGTGGAGGTCAGAAGAGGCTGTGAGATCCCCTGGGACTGGAATTACAGACAGTTGTTAGCTGCCATGTGAGTGCTGGGATTTGAACCTGGATCTTCTGCAAGAACAGCCAGCGCTCATAAACGCCGAACCATCTCCAGCCCAATGAAATATTTTTAAAAAAAAAAACAGCAAGAACACAACTTTCAGCTAGGTATGACACAACTAAGTAAGAAAATGGGGAGGGAGCCATAGCTCAGTGGTAGAGTGTTTTACTAGCATGCATGCATGAAACTGAGTTTGATCCCCAACATGAAGAAAGAGGGGAAGATTAAAACAGGTCTCAGCATGCTCTGACCAGATTCTATGGGGCCCCTCCCTGAGGAGCACAAGGCATCATTCCCCTTTACCCTAGTAAACTTTTCAATTTTAGGTAGTTTATACCTTTACATATAATCCTATATCTAATACATCTAATTGTAACAAACCAGACTAAAGTATGGAGAAGGACGTCTTCTAAGAAAATCTCTGCCTATTCCAGGAAGGAGATCACTCCAGACAGCCCAAGAGGAGGCAAAGGGGTGAAAAATGGTAGGCCAAGTGGAGCATGGTGGCACATACCTTTAATCCCAGCACTTTGGAGGCAGAGACAGGAAGATCTCTGTGAGGCTAACCTGATTGACATAGGAAGTTCCAGACCAGGCAGAGCTACAGTGAGACCCTGTCTCATAAAAGCAAAAACAATAACAACAACAAAAAAAGGTAGGCCAAGACTTGTCAGTCCAGATATTAGAGACGGTTGTTTGTCACAGCCCATTAGCTTGTACTGCTCTGCATGCAGGAAGGTATAGTTTCTGCTCCTGCTTTCTTGCCTGCTAAAAATAAATTGACTACCTGCTCTGCTTGTGTTTGAGTATAAATTTTTCCTCAGTACACCAGAACCAAGATGGCTGTGGTTGGGATTAGATGAATTCAGGAAGAGGCAATTCCCGCTTTCCACAACGTTTATTTAATATGAGCCATACATTATGCTAACTGCTTGACATAAGTTCCATTATTCTCTTTTTTTTTTTTTTTTTTTTTTTTTTTTTTTGGTCTTTTTGAGACAGGGTTTCCCTATAGCCCTAGCTGGCCTGGATTCGCTATGGAGACCAGGCTGGCCTCAAACTCAGAGATCCACCTGCCTCTGCCTCCCAAGTGCTGGGGTTAAAGGTGTGCACCACCACACCCAGCTTCATATTTATTTTTAAATGTTTATTACATTTATGTGTTTGTTCATGTGTGAGTACGAAGGTCAGAGGACATTCTAGGGGAGTAGGTTCTCTCCTTTTACCATGTGGGTTCTAGGAATTTGAACTCAAGTCTTCAGGTTTGGTGGTAAGAGCCTTTATCTGCTGAGCCATCTCACAGGCCCTTTGCCATTTGGTTATTTACCCATATTATTGATTTTTTTTTTTTTGGTCTTTTTGAGACAGGGTCTTCCTATAGCTCCAGCTGACCTGGAACTCACTATGTAGACCAGGCTGGCCTCAAACTCACAGAGGTCTGCCTGCCTCTGCCTCCCAAGTGCTGGGATTACAAGAGTGCACCATCATGCCTTGTTTATTTGGTGCTAGGGCTCAAACCCAGGGCTTTATGAATGCTAAGTAAGCGGCATACCAGTTGAGGTCACTCTCAACATTGTGTTTTGAAACAGGGTGTCATGTAGCCCAGGCTGGTCTTGAACTCCTTATATAGCCAAGGATACTTCAAACTTCTGATCCTCCTACCTTTGGCTCCTGAGTGCTGGAATTACAGGGATGTGATATCATGCCTTGCTGAACTGTTGATTTTAAACTGCACCAAAGCCAGGTTTGATTGTATGCTCCTTTAATCCCAGCACTCTGGAGGCAAAGGTAAGTGGATCTCTGTGAGTTTGAGGCCAACCTGGATATCATTATACTAAGAAGAAAAAAAAAAAAATAATGAAGTTTCTCATGCGTCTAAACTATATTTCAAAATATCCAAATAGCTGATGAAGAATGGTGCTTCCAGAATGCCAATTAATAAATGCATGAAGTGAGTTTCAGGCCAGTCAAAACTAAATAGTGAAACCCTGTCTCAAAACAAACAGGGGCTGGAGAGATGGCTCAGTGGTTAAGAGCACTGTCTGCTCTTGCAGAGAACCCAGGTTCGATTACCAGCACCCATATGGCAGCTAACAACCATAACTCCAGTTCCAGGGGATCCGACACCCTCTTTTGGCCTCTGTGGACATTACATGACACGGGTGTACTTACATACATGCAGTCAATACACTCATACACATAAAATAAAAAAATTAAAGACAAACAACAAAACAACACCTTACAAGAAACCTTTTAAGTAGAGCACTATTATTTGTAGCAGGGAAACAGAGCTTCTAGATATTTAGTAACACACAAGATCACGAGGATAAAACTGGTGCTAACCAGAATTTGAACCCAAGAAGTTTAACTGTCTGTAGTTATATGTTCTAGACACTCTGATTCACCTTCTTGTGAAAATCAGTTGATTTAAGTTATTTGCTTACCTCTTCATTCTCTGTGGGTAGCC